GTAAACTTTTCGTCGACGGCGTTTCTTGTGAACTCGACTTTTCTGTTCAGAAACTAGGCCCAACGATGTTGAGATATTTTTGGCTACTAATCTTCATAGACTCCGTCCTTAGTCTCTAACAGCTCCCACCACCTGATGGGAACAAAGGAAGCCTTCGTTGAACTGCAGCCGAGTGGCTCCATCAAGCACGTGCGCGGCTTCAATGGGGCACTGCAGGACGTTCAGGGCAGTGGAACCGTCGCTCTGCGAGGAAAGGCCGGGAAGGAGGTGCTTATCCCCGACGTGTTGTACGTCCCAGGTGTGCGAGCCAACCTGCTGTCGGCCGGCCAGCTGAAGGAGCACGGAGTGAAGCTGCAGGAGGACGGAGACGGCATGCTGCTCGTCTCGGCAGCAGGGGAGGTGCTCGGGCGGGCGACGTACTCTGGGCGAGTCCTCTGCACCGACCTGCGTCCCTGCGCGACGAGGTCGACGCCGCCCACATCGGAGGTGGTGGCTTTGCGGGCGATCGTCTCGAAGACGACGTCGACGCTGGACCGTATGCATGCCCGGCTTGCACATGTCGGCATGGACACCATACGGAGCTCGACGAAGAACGAGGTCGCCATTGGGCTGGACCCCAAGTCGGCGACGGGCGCCGACTCCCCGTGTGTCTCGTGCGTCGGCGGGAAGCTGGCGCGACACACCTTCCCCGACCAAGGCTCCGACGCCGACGATGTGCTGGCCGTCGTGCACATCGACCTGTGCGGGCCATTCCGCGTGGCTGCCAAGGATGGCAGCCTGTACTTCTTGTTGCTGAAGGACCGCAAGACCCGCTATGTGTGGGTGAAGCCGGTCGCCAAGAAGTCAGATGCGTTGCAAGCCTTCGTACAGTGGCTGGCGGTGGCTGAGCGGCAGACGAAGAAGTCGGTGTTGATGCTGCGATCTAACCGGGGAGGGGAGTTCCTCGGGAAGCAGTTCACCGACTTCGTGTACGGAAAGGGGATCGTCCACGACCTGAGCTGCCCATACACCCCGCAGCAGAACGGCATGGCGGAGCGGGAGATGAGGACGGTGGTGGAGTCAGTGCGGACAATGCTGCTGCACATGGGCTTGCAGCACCACTGGTGGCACCTCGCTCTCCGGCAGGCCGTCTGGGTCCGCAACTGCCTTGAGAGGTCGGCGCTGCCGCCGGGGACGACGCCGTACCAACTGCTGACCGGGAAGAAGCCCGACTTGTCGCTGGCGCGGGTGTGGGGCTGCATGGCGCAGTTCTTAGTCACCGAGCAGCAGCGTGGTGGGAAGCTGCAGCCGAAGGCCAGGTGGGGCCTGCACCTTGGCGTGTCGGCGGCGAGCAAGGGCTGGGAGCTCCTCGACGTCGACGCCGACCGGGTGGTCACCACGTCGGATGTGGTGTTCTACGAGGAGCTGTCGCTGGCCGAGTGGAAGACGAAGTACGGGTCGGTGTCCGGCCGCTCGTCGCCCACCCCGCCCTCTGACACCTCGTCGGCGACGCTGCCACTGCTTGCCGAGGTCGGTGAGCTTGCTATTACGGACGTCGAGGACGTCCGCCCCCCTCCCCCTCCGACCCCTGCCCCTCCCCTCGTGGCCGACCTGCGTGGGCTGACCTCGGTGTCGGCCTCCGGCGATGAGGGGAGTAGTGGGACGTCGCCTTCGACCAAGTGCATCGCTAGTGGGACGTCGCCTTCGGCCAAGTGCATCGCCGGTGGCCGACGTGACGAGCGGCAGGTCGACGTGGGATTGCAGTCGACGTCGACAGGGGAGGAGCAGGTCGAGAAGCAGGTCGAGGACCAGCGGCCGACAAAGGAGCAGGCAGCAGTGACGCCGACCAAGGAGCAGTTGGCGACCGGGCAATCGGCAGGGGAGCCGACCATAGGGGAGAAGTCGGCTGGGACGCCGGCTGAGGAGCAGCAGGACGCCAAGGGCAGCGACAACAGCAACGATGGAGGGGACGCCGAGGAGGTCCAGCCAGGACCACGGCGTTTAGGCCGACTTCGGAGACCGCTTGACTTCTTCGTCCCCGCTGCCTTCACCGCGGTGTACGACGTGGACGAAATGGCCGACGACCTGCTGTACGACGATGCCGAGGAGGATGAGGAGTTTCCGGAGCTCGACCCCGACATGCTAGCTGACCCCGAGCACCGTTGGGACATCTCGACGATGACGGTGAAGGAGGCGTTGGCGAGCTGGAAGGGCCCGGCGGTGAAGGCCGCCATGGAGGAGGAGATTCGCAGCCTCCTCAACATGGGAACGTGGGAGTTGGTCGAACGTCCGCCGGGAGTGAACGTCATGAAGAACCGGTGGGTGTTGACGACGAAGTACCACGTCGACGACACCGTCGAGCGCGAGAAGGCGAGGCTGGTTGTGAAGGGCTTCACGCAGGTGTACGGCGCCGACTACGACGAGACGTTCGCGCCGGTGGGCAGCTACGTCACGCTGAGGATCTTCCTCAGCATCGTCGCCGTCCGCAACCTCAACCTGATGCAGCTCGACATGAAGAACGCCTTCTTGCAGAGCAAGCTCGACAGGGTGCTCTACATGTCCCAGCCGGACTACTTCAACGACGGGACCGGCCAGGTGTGCAAGCTGCTGAAGAGCCTGTACGGGCTAAAGAAGTCGCCGCTGTTGTGGTACTTGGCGCTCAATGACGTGCTAGTCGGCGCCGGGTGGAAGAAGAGCCAGGTCGACGAGGCTCTCTACTTCAAGGTTGGCGATGGTGGAGTGGCCTGCTGGGTTCTGGTCTACGTCGACGACCTGCTTGCCGCCAGCAGCAGCGCCGCGATGCTGAAGAAGCTGAAGGAGCTGCTGGAAGCCGCCTTCGAGCTGCGCGAGATCTTGCCGGTGCAGAAGTACCTCGGGCTGGAGATCGTGCGCGACAGATCGGTGGGGAAGCTGTGGCTGCACCAGCAGGGCTACGCCGACAAGTTGCGTAGGCGCTTCCTTGACGAGGAGCAGACCGGGCGCGCCCCGAAGACACCGGTCTCGGTCGGTGCCTACGCCGAGCTCACCTTCGATGACGAGGAGGTGCAGGAACGGCAGGAGGAGTACCGGCAGAAGGTCGGCTCGCTGCAGTTCGCGGCGACGACGACGAGGCCGGACGTCGCCTTCGCCTGCAGCAAGCTGGGGAGCGGCCTCACGGTGAGGAGCGACCAGCACTGGCGCGAGGCCGACCGCTGCCTCGCCTACCTCGCCAACACACGTGACACCGCCCTGGAGTTTGGCGGTGGACCTGAGTCGCTGGAGCTGGTCGGCTACGTGGACGCCGACGACGCCGGTGACAAGCAGAACAGGACGAGCACGAGCGGCTACGTGTTCGTCTACGGAGGGGCTGCAGTCTCCTGGTCGAGCCAGCGCATCAAGTGCGCGACGTTGTCGTCGACCGAGTCGGAGTACGTGGCAGCCACTGAAGCTGGCAAGGAGGGACGCCGCCTTCGCATCCTCCTCGCAGAATTCCGGCAACTGGATGCCGGGAAGCCGACTGTCCTGCGAGTGGACAACAAGTCGGCCATCACGGTCGCCGGGGGCATGGGGTTGACGGGCAACCTCAAGCACATGGAGCGGCTACAGGCCTGGCTGCAGCACATGGTGAAGCGCGAGAAGTTCTCGCTGCAGTACATCCCAACCGCTGAGCAGCCGGCCGACTTCCTGACGAAGGCGCTACACTATCCGGCCTTCAACCGGTGCACCGTCGCAATCGGCCAGGTGCGCTTGGCCGACGTGAGCGACGGCGACAACGACGTGCAGCAGTAGGTGCCATGCCTTCTTGCATGGCTGGTGCGGTGGACGACGTGCTGTGTGTTGGGTGCACGACGACGAGCTATTTTCTGAGGAGTACTGCCGAGTAGGACTTGGGGGCCCAAGCGTGAACGCGGCAGGGGAGTGTCAACGGGAGTTGTGTATTGGCCCCGTCCTCGCTTGGGCGGAGCCGACCTCGTGGTCGGGTGAGGGGAGCAGCCGACCTCTAGCAGTGGGTGAGCTGGTCGACAAGGAGGTCGACCTGCACGGGGGACCACTGCACGGGCGCCGACTTCAGGGAGGTCAACTTGGGTGTCGACCTGCGGAGGACGTCAACTTGGTGACGTCAACTTGGGGAAGCCGACTTCGGCAGTCGGCTAACGGACTGCTGGTCGACCTGCTAGTGGTCGACTGGACCTGGTGGTCGACGAAGGAGGGGCCGACGTCGACCTCGACTCAGGACGCCGAGCAGTTGGGCGTCGAGTAGCGGGGCGTCAACTTCGTGACGCCAGCTTCGGGTGGCCGACGTGGGTGGTCGGCCGACGACTGTGCTGGTCGACGAGGAGCAGGTCGACCAGGAGTGCTGGTCGACGTGGAGCTGGTCGACCAGAGGGGATGTCGACCTGGAGGAGGTCGACCGATGGTGTCGTCGACCTGGTGAGGTCGACGTGGAGGTGGTCGTCGACTTGGGAGGTCGACGGGCACGTACGGGAGCTGCTGGTCGACGTGGTTGCCTGGTCAACCAGGTTACCTGGGTGACGAAGTGCTGCGGAGGAGTGCGACGGTCGCCCAGGCGAAGTTGGCGAGCCCGACCTCGGTGGTGATATCCCGAGGTCGTCGTGGCGGATCAGAGGCAGTCGTCAGCTCGAGGTTGACGTGGTGTGTGCGCTGTGCAGGTGACAAGACTCTGCGCGCCAATCATCTGCGCACAACTGCGAAGCAGGGTGCACTGCTGTCCTGCATGAGCAACGCTGTCACGCCGTCAACCTGCGACGTTGGCACGCCGTCGACCTTGCCTTGCTGAAGCGCGGTCGACGAAGTCGTGCTGGAACGCGGTCGACCAAGCTGCGGTGGCAGTTGGCCGACCTGAATGCTTGCTCTGATGTAGTCTTGCATTGCCAACTTCATTGTACCCATTGTTCTGAACTTTTCCTAGTGAAACTCTTGCCAATTTTCCCCATGAACTAGCAAGTAGTGTGCGTACAAGGAAAACGACTAAGGAACAGAGAACGCAGAGATCACACGAGCACACGTGCCTAGCCCGTAGCCTAGCTCCCGTTGCTGCAGTTATCTCCGCAGCCGCCTGATGCCTCGTTGACAGCATCGCCTACTGCCTCGCTGCCCTTGCCGCCTGATGCCTCGTTGACAGCACCGCCTACTGCCTCGCTGCCCTTGCCGCCTGATGCCTCCTTGATAGCACTGCCTACTGCCTCGCTGCCCTTGCCGCTTGATGCCTCGTTGACAGCACCGCCTACTGCCTCGCTGCCCTTGCCGCCTGATGCCTCGTTGACAGCACTGCCTACTTCCTTGCTGCCCTTGCCGCATGATGCCTCGTTGATAGCACCACCAACTTTGCTGCCCTTGCCGCCTGATGCCTCGTTGGCAGCACCGCCTACTGCCTCAGTACCCTTGCCGCTTGATGCCTCGTTGACAGCATCGCCTAGTGCCTCACTACCTTTGCCGCCTGATGCCTCGTTGACAGCACCGCCTACTGCCTCACTGCCCTTGCCGCCTGATGCCTTGTTGACACCACCGCCTACTGCCTCGCTGCCCTTGCCGCCTGATGCCTCATCGACAGCACCTCCTACTGCCTCGCTGCCCTTGCCGCCCGATGCCTCATTGACAGCATTGCCTACTGCCTCGGTGCCCTTTCCGCTTGATGCCTCGTTGACAGCACCGCCTACTGCCTCGCCGCCCTTGCCGCATGATGCCTCGTTGACAGCACCGCATGCTGCCTCGCTACCCTTCCCACCTGATGCGTGATTGACAGCACCGCCTGCTACCTCGCTGCCCTTGCCACTTGATGCCTCGTTGAGAGCACCGCGTGTTATAGTCAAGAGTCCACTTAGAGGTCGGGGATGCGCATGAAACTTCCTAAGCAGAATCTGAGGTCTTCAAACTGCCTCTGTTCAAAACGCCGTCACGATCAGCTCCTATTATACATGAGGCTGAAACTTGTGCACTAGTTAGCCTTAGGTGTCTGCTTTCCAACGGTGTATTTCTTGTATTCACTAGAGGTGTATGCGCTACGTTGTGAACAAAAACGTAAGCTCGGCTGAAAAACGTGTATTCTCATTGATGCAAGGAAGAGGTGAGGTACAACATTGCCTAGGGGACTCTTAAGGGGTTGGGATCATCTTGGGAACTCAAAGAAGTTGAGTCCTAGGGGAGAAAGGCTATAGAAGGAAGGGAAACGTTCTAGCTAGGTCAGCAAAGCCAACCACACATGGATGTTCAGAGCTGTACTCAAGGCAACCAATTGTGAGTTAAGCCAACCATGAGTCAGCTTGTCTTCCCACTTTCACCCTCTTGCAAGCTGGTTCCAAGAAGACCACACTTCTCAAAAGGAGGGTTGTAGAGTCCCACTTGACCACCTGTACTTCTTGTCTCATTCTCTGTCCCTGCACCATTGGCATGACAACAATGAAAGGGTGGCAGGGGAAATGCTGCCAACAGTGCACCATGACTACAGAACAATGAATTTCGGGAGCTGTCACGCAATGCTCAGATATTGGATCGTTCTGAAACTTGGTGACCACTTGCATAGCGGGGCAAAGGACTCCAAGACCGAATTTCAGACCAATAAAAGCTTGGTAGACGAGTCAGCAGCCGAAATGGTGAACTCGGCTGTTACCAAAAAGGAGTAACACACACTTCTGGGATGCCATAAGTCTTCAAACATAAAATGTTGTCATGCCTTGGTAACTGCCTTAAAAAACTCTGAAACTTTGAGTGTTTGAAGAACACATGTTGAAAATCCTCCCCACAAAATTCCAGAAGCTGAGCAGGCTTGTAGGCCGAATGGGAGTGCGATGACCGTGCCACTGTAATGTGTTGCCACAACAAACTCCCCCTCATCGTGCTCTCATTCATCCCTTAGCTGCTCCCTGAAGCTGCCTCCCTGAGTTGAAAGACATGCCACACAAGGTGGCACAGGTCCAATGCTGATGTTCTGGAAGCCGCTTGGTCAAAAAATCTGCAGGTTGCTTGGTAGTGTTGATTTAGTGCAAGGAGACCGTGCCCTTCTTCACCTCCTTCCTCACCCAATGCCATTTGATATGCATGTGCTTGTTCAGCCCATGGAGCACAGCATTGCGAGCCATTGCAATTACTCCTTGGCTGTCACAGAACACTGGTGTAGGACCCTCTTGCTCCTGCCCCAACTCCTCAAGCAACATCCTTATCCAAACCACCTCCTTCACCCCATGAAACAATGCCATTCGCTCTCCGTTGATGAGTGAGCTATCTCCCCTTGCTTCTTAGACTTCCAGCTCACTGGACTCCCTCCAACACAGCATACATAGCCACCATGGGATGTTGCATCACTAATGTCACTTGCCCAGGTAGCATCGGTGAAGCACGATAGGTACAAGTGTCCACGGCTTGCAGGTGCACCGGTCTTTGTGCTCACGTCCTCCACTCCCTTATGCTTCAGCTGCCCATGCACTGAATATTGCAGCCCCGCCCTTGAGGTTGCCATGCAGTACCTCACTAGCCTCTTTGCTGCATCAAGGTGCTCTTGAAGGGGCCTAGACACCACACGAGCCAGCTGCGAAACCGCGAATGAAATATCGGGGCGAGTGTTGACCGAAGCATACATCAAGCTCCCCACCATTGACTGGAACCGACGCTGCAACTCGGGCTCCAACACCTCACCCTCCTCTTCATCAAGGTGTAGCTGAAACCCTGAGGGTAGAGGAGTCTTCACACTCCTCCCTTCTTCCAGCCCATACCTCTCCCCCATGGCTGCAAGGTACTTGTGTTGGTGAAGCCTCAACCATCCCTTCACCTCGTCCCTCTCCACGTGAAGACCAAGGTAATACCCCACTGGTCCAAGGGCCTTGCATTGAAAGGTTTCCTTCAGCCTTCCTTGCACCTCCTTGATCCTCTCTAGGGATGGAGAGAAGAGGAGAAGTTATCGACGTAGCCAAGGAGAAACACCTTCTCCTCCTCCCCCTCGGTCATGAAGAGACTCTCGTCGCACCCGCTAACTTTGAAGCCAAGAGCCTCCAACGCCTCCATCAGCCTTGCATACCAGCACCTTGGAGCTTGTTTGAGGCCATAGATGGCCTTGTTGAGCCTGCAAACACGTCCGCTCCCATCGTCGTACCCCTCTGGCTGCTTCATGTAGATCTCCTCATCTACCACGCCATAGAGGAAAGCCCTCTTCACATCCATTTGCTCCACCTTCCAACCACAAACGGCACCTGCTGCTAGCAACACCCGGAGCGTAGGAGCCTTGGCAACAGGAGCAAACACCTCCTTAAAGTCAACTCCCTCCCTCTGCTGGAAACCCTTGATCACAAGTCTTGTTTTGCGCCTCTCCAACTTCCCCTCCGCATCAGTCTACACACGTAATATCCACGTGCAATCCAATGCCTTTCTTTTCGGGGGCAGATCAGTGAGGGTCCATGTTCCATTCTCCATGAGGCTCCGAAACTCATCCTCCCTTGAAGCTAACCAAGCCTCTCGATCATCTCCAGCAAGTGCTTCCTCCATTGAAGCTAGTTCATGAGGTAGGTTGAAACCGAAGCAACAAATCTACTCCATCTCTCCCTCGGCTCCCTCCTCATCATCTTCTTCTTCCTGGACCAGCAATGCCTTGGGACCCCCAAGCCTTTCATACTTGAGGAAATCCCTTGGGTGAGCAGCTCTCTTGGGCCTCTCCTTGGCTGCACCCTCCTTAACTCCACCGCGGACAGCACCACGCTTCCCTTGGGTTGTCCGCCTTGGTGGAAGTGAAGGGGATGGTGTAGGCTGCTGCACCTCCTCCCCGGCAGCACCTCTCTCAGCTACAGGAGCCGCCTCTTGCTGCAACACTCCCTCCACCTCTGCTGCCTCCCCTTCAGCACCTCCCAAGTCATGTGACACCTCCGTTACCTCTGAAGATGAAGACAACTCGATGGGAATGAGGAGTGGGTCATTCGTTCCCACCTCTATTCCGAGCAGAATGGTGACCTTGCTCCTCCCTCGCTCCAACCACTCCTTGAACATGAGCCCCTCCATGAACTTGGCATCTCTGGTGGTGAAGATGGTGTTGGCTTTTGGGTCCCACATGAGCCACCCCTTGCTCCCTTGTGCAAGTCCCAAATGAACAGCCCACACCGCCGCCGCTTGAAGCTTGTCACGCTTCTCCTTAGGGACGTGCACGAGTCCCATGCACCCGAAGACTTGAAGCATATCCACCAAGGGCTTCTTGCCTCTCCACTTCTCCATAGGGACCCAATGTTGCCCTCCCATATGAGTCAATACTCGGTTCTTGATGATGGTGGCATGGCGAATAGCGAGGGGCCAGAATCGTAAGGGTAGATCCGAGTCTACCAACATCGTTCTCCCACCCTTCATGATGGTCCGGTTTGCTTTCTCTGCCACGCCATTGGATTGAGGAGTGTAGGCCGTGGTGAGCTGCTGCTTGATGTCGTGCCGCTTCAGCCAGCTCCGGAACTCCGCTCCCAAGAACTCCCCACCACGGTCGCTACGAATCGCCATCACCTGCTTGCCGCTCTCTCGCTCCACCAAGGACAGCCACTCTTCAATGATGATCCTTGCAGCATCACTTTTCCTTGCAAGTGGAAAGGACCAAGTGAGCCTTGTGTTGTCATCCACCATGGTCATGGAATACAGGGCCCCACCATCTCCCTTCACCTTCATGGGTCCCACGAGATCCACATGCACGAGCTCCACCGTGTCGCTCGACTTCCCCTCCACCGAATGGAAGGGAAACCCTGAAAACTTGCTGGTCAAGCAAGTCTCACAAGATCCCACCTCCTTGGGCTCCCCCTTTATCCTCAGCCCCCTGACTCTTTCCTCCTTGAACAGCTGCTGCAACTGAGGTAGCGCCACGTGGCCAAAGCGACGGTGTGCGGTGAGCCAATCCGTCTCACCCGTGCTAGGAGTTGCGCTTGGTAACTCGGCCCCTCCATGCCCAAGGAGCCCACCATCACTATCATCACCACCTCCTCCATTGTCCACGTGGTTAACCTGCCCTCCTCTCATACCTCCAGCAGCCAAGCACGCAGCCGCCTCCTTCCATGGCAGCACCGGTATCTCCCACATGGACCGGTGCATGTCCTTGCCGCCTCGGAGGTCCCACAAAACGCGCCCATCCAGAGTTGCCTTGAAAACCTTTGTGCCCAACATCTCCATCTTCATCCCTGCCTCACTTAGGGCCTTGGCAGAGAGGAGGTTGGCACACAATCCAGGAACAAGGAGAACACGCTTCTGCCCCACAAGCCTCCCATCCGCACCCATGAACATGGCTCTCCCCTCGCCACGCACGGGTACAACTTGGCCGGTGGCTGAAACGACAGTGGCTGCCTTTGATGGCCTAACTTCATCCAGTAGATCCTCTCGGTTGGTCATGGTTATGAAGGCTCCCGTGTCGATGACCCAATGGGAGGAGCGGTGAAGAGCAATCTTGCTGGCCGGCACAACCATGTCCTCGGGGCACGCCTCCCCTACATGGTAGAACATGCCGCCGTATCCGCCAGCACCTCCATCGCCCTCCTCACTGCCCATGCCTTCTCCCATAGCTCCATGAACACCCTTGGAGCCCTCAATTGCTGGCTGACCAGGCCTCCAACCGTCAGGTAGCTTGTGGCACTTGAACCATGGGTGCCCTTCCACATGGCAATACCAACACTTGCCGCCACACCGCTTGCCTCCCTTGTTGCCACGCTTCCCTCCCGAATGCTGCTCCCCTCCAGAGCCTTCCTTGGCCTTGCCTTTCTTGCTGCCACGCCCCTTGAAGCCCTTCATGCAGTAGGCTGAACCTCCACCGTCACCGGTAGCGGCGGTCAGCTCCTTCCTCTGAAACTCCTCTTGAAGAACTTGCGCGCGAATCCACTCAAAGGACCACGAGTCCTTCATGCCATTAAGGTTGACCACCAAGGGCCCCCACGACTCCGGCAGCAGGGAGAGAGCTTTGTAGCACTTGATTTTCTCAGGGTAGTCCACACCAGCAGCAGAGAGCTTCACATAGAGGTCCCTAAGTTGATCGAACGCTCCTTGTACGGCATCACCCTCGTTGATCTTCACCGCATGGAGTTGTCGCTCGAGCACCACCACCATAGCTTCGCTGCTGGGGGCATAGACATCCTTCAATATCTTCCAAGCCTTAGGACCACACTCAACTTCCTTGATGAGATGTTTGATGTGGTGCAGCTGATAGGATGAGAGGCATTGGGAGAGAAGGAAGAATCCATCCTTGGACCTGCGATCCCATTCTTTGGTCGCTCCTTCGCTCGCAGGCCTCTTCAATTCTCCATCCGTCACTTCAAGCAGCCCATAATGGTTTAAGACGAGCTCCATCCTGAAGCTCCATGATGCTCAATCCTCCCTAGATAACTTCTCCAGGTTGAATGCCTTCACATCATCCTTAGCTGATGTTGAAACGGAAGCCATTGGTGCAGATCCGTCGGCAACGCCTCTTCCCGCTTCCCCAGCGCCTCTCACGCCAGCACTGCCATTGGGACCAGCTGGAGCAGAAACTTTCGCCTCCATATTCACCCACAAACAGAGTAGAACAGCTCTAATACCACTTGTTATAGTCAAGTGTCCACTTAGAGGTCGCGGATGCCCATGAAACCGCCTAAGCAGAATCTGGCGTCTTCAAACCGCCTCTGTTCAAAACGCCGTCACGATCAACTCCGATAACACATAAAGCTGAAACTTCGGCAGCAGTTAGCACAATTGTGAGTTAAGCCAACCATGAGTCAGCTTGTCTTCCCACTTGCACCCTCTTCCAAGCTGGTTCCAGGAAGACCACACTTCTCAAAAGGAGGGTTGTAGAGTCCCACTTGACAGCCTATACTTCTTGTCTCATTCTCTGTCCCTCCACCATTGGCATGACAACAATGAAAGGGTGGCAAGGGAAATGCTACCAACAGTGCACCATGACTACGAAACAGTGAACTTCGGCAGCTGTCACGCAATGCTCAGATGTTGGATCATTCTCAAACTTGGTGACCACTTGCACTGCGATGCAAAAGACTGCCACATTGAATTTCAGACCAATCAGAGCTTTGTAGACGACTCAGCAGCCGAAATGGTGAACTCGGGAGTTGCAAAAAAGGAGTAACACACACTTCCGGGATGCCATAAGTCTTGAAACATAAAATGTTGGTATGCCTTGGTAAGTACCTCAAAAACTCTGAAACTTTAAGAATTTGAAGAACACATGTTTAACATCCTCCCAACAAAATTCCAGAATCTGAGCAGGCTTGTAGACCGAATGGGAGTGCGATGACCGTGCCACTGTAATGTGTTGGCACAACACCGCCTACTACCTCGCTGCCCTTGCCGCCTGATGCCTCGTTGACAGCACCGCCTACTGCCTCGCTGCCCTTGCCGCCTTATGCCTCGTTGACAGCACCGCCTACTGCCTCGCTGCCCTTGCCGCCTGATGCCTCGTTGACAGCACCGCCTACTGCCTCGCTGCCCTTGCCGCCTGATGCCTCGTTGACAGCACCGCCTACTGCCTCACTGCCCTTGCCGCCTGATGCCTCGTTGACAGCACCGCCTACTGCCTCGCTGCCCTTGCCGCTTGATGCCTCGTTGACAGCACCGCCTTTTGGCTCGCTACCCTTGCCGCCTGATGCCTCGTTGACAGCACCGCCTACTGCCTCGCTGCCCTTGCCGCCTGATGCCTCGTTGACAGCACCGCCTACTGCCATGCTGCCCTTGCCGCCTGATGCCTCATTGACAGCACCGCCTACTGCCTCGCTGCCCTTGCCGCCTGATGCCTCGTTGACAGCACCGCCTACTGCCTTGCTGCCCTTGCCGCCTGATGCCTCGTTGACAGCACCGCCTGTGCCGGTTGCTTTTTCGCTGCTCTCGTTGCCGCTCACGACATCGCTGGTCGCGTCCGCTGCTTTGTTGGTGCTCATGTCAGTCACCACATTGCTGCCCGTGTCTGCTGCCTGCTTGTTGCTGTCGGTCAGCACATCGCTGGCCAGATCCGTTGGCTTATTGCTGCTCGTGCCGGTCGCTGCAGTGGTCACCTTGTCTGCTGCTTTCTTGATGCTGTCACTCACTGCACTGATGCCCGCGGCCGTTGCTGCCTTGACGCTCAAGCCGAACGCCTCGCTGCCCGTGACTAGGTGACTAGCTGCGAGGGGGGCACAGGAGAAGGGAACAGCTGAACGGAAGGTGTTGGGCTTGTTTGCACTCATCGAAGCCTTTGAGAAATGGCACTCTCCCAGTGGGTGTGAACTAACTGCCATGGGGTGAGAGCATCAAAGGTATGGTACTACTAGGCGCACGGAGGGTTCAAGGCGTGTTGACAAAAAAATGCGTAGCAGGGGGCCATTGAGAGTGCACCATGTGTTGACGAAGCATGGAAAGAGAGAAGACTCTTTTCTTCTGAGCAAAAGGCATATTGACAAGGACATGCGTGGGAGGAGAAGAGCAGGGGGCGCAATGCGGCGAGTCGCACCGGTGAAGAGCGCGACGAGGAAGACGCCAATCACGAGCGTCGCACTCCCCATTTTCCGCCGCATACTCGCCGGCGGTTTGGATCTGTTGAGATGAGATTGAAGCAATGGACGCGCGACCGCTCGGTCGACGGCAGGAAGGACGAAAAGAGGAGCTACAAGCGCGGCGACGGTGGGAGAGCGAATGGAGAGGAGCTTCCCTTGAAAGCTTCGCTTGAAAGGAAGCGGTTGCGATAAACTATGCTGCTCATCGCTGCTGCTCCCATCTCCTTTTCTACTATGTGCTCGCCTCTCGAGCCTCGCCTCACCCATCGCTCGCATCGCATCACACCCTCCAAACCTCTCGTTTCGCGTCGAAAATCTCCGAGCCTGCGGTCAATCGTTAGCAATCAAGGGAAACATTTAGTGTAGCAAGCAAGCGGGCAGCGCCCAACGTAAGTCTAGTGCGTTGAGCGATGAAGACGCCGTCACAGCAACGAGCACGTATTCCACTTCGTCAGGGAAGGTCGCCACCAGCGTACGACGATCCCCGGCAGTTTCGCTACTGGCAGCGACCCGCAAAGCAGAAAACGCTCGCCGTGGCGATGGCGACCCGAGGATCGCAAGTAAAGCGGTCATTCTTGGTGCGACGCCTCCTAGTGGTGGATTCCTTCCAGACTTCTGCTACTTTCCAACTAATGGGCATTCCGCGAACGCGATTCCGGTTATCGCATAACTGAGTTTGCGGCGAGGTGAAGCGGATGAAATATGAATGGCGTGATGAATTATTGCGGCCAATTTTGTTTGTTCAAATCTGAATTTTGTAGGTTCGTTCTGGTGTACGATTGTTAAAAGCGGTGAAAGTCGGTTTGTAGAAGATATGCGAACGTCCTTTCCCAGTCATCAAGGGTGGTCTGGTGTGGTTGATCGCAGAGAGCAAGCGACGATGAGGTCAATGGAGAGGAATAATGGAAAGGGACGGCTTGGTGTCTTATTGGTCTGCCAAAATGGTTGGAAGCGGTGAATTCTTTGAAAGTTCCCAACCGTAGCGGAACGTGTTGAGCCGTGTAAACGAACCTTGTATATACTGTCTGACCTGCCCTGAAAAGAAGGGTTCGTTTGAACGCATTGTGGCTCTTGTAAGAAAGAAGTTGATGTGTTAGAAACATAGGGCTGTGCTACATGAAGTGTACCACTGTGTTTTACAACTCCACACAGTCTTGTGTGCGAATGTATATACAAATAGCTGTATACATGTAACGTCACCTATGTTCAACCCTCAACACCGAACCTGCGCAAGGGCGTTATTTAGAGAGGTTCAGTGCGGTAATAGCGCTAGACCCTCATCAATTGATACGCCACCGCACTGAAACTTTTCAGAAACTTTTTTAACCCCGCAAAAAAAATTGACCCTGCGCAGGTTCGGTGTTGGGGTTCGACGAAAGCCTTCGGACTACTGGGGACCCGCCGCCGACCCCTAGTTTCTTTGAAAATCTAGCCAAACGAAATCGCCGGAATTCTGCACTGCGATCGTGCTGGGTCTCGTCTCTTTCCACTCTCAACCCTCGATCCCCGTCCCACATTGGCGCAGCCACCAGCCCAGGCTGGATTAGAAGAATCGAGGGTGTGTTTCCATATTTAATTAATGACTCCGTGACATCTCTGACACCCACTTCCTGTCTCGCTTACGCTTCAGATCTTCCAACTTTCTCCCAGATCTGTAATTATGATAATTCGGCGCCCCCAGGCTAATAAACTTTTACAGATCAGAAGACTGAGGCGATCACGAACACGCCCTAGAACCGCTATCTCCTCCCCCTATACGTGCCACCGGCAGCTATCAGTGTGCGCCAAACACCGAAGGTAGTTGGATCCAAACCCAGCCATACTTGTGCCTCAAGCTGAGTTTCCTGGGACCCTCGACCCACCACCTCGACCCACCCCACCCACACCCCGTCCACTCCACCCAAGCCATGCACGTTTTGCTTGCCGATTTGCAGTCCCGCGCATTCATTTCCGCAGCCCTACTAACTGCACGGCGCATAGTGTGCTGCAGTGGGTAGTGGCGTCACCATACCTCGAACCTCCACAGTCTTCCCATTCTCGGAATTCGAGCTTATTCCTCAGATCCGGGACATCTATCGACCATTCATCACCTTTTTTTTGCCCCAAGATCGTGAATCTCCCACAGACTTGTTCCTCATCTTACCTTGCTGTACCCTAAGTACCGTTAAGACCCCTCCTTTACCTTACCTCGCCGTATCCTTAAACATGGACCCAGCAGCCCACCCATATTTAACTTATCGAGCCCACTCGCGTCCCGGCGACATGATCCCACATTACGCCGACAGCGATGAATCCGGCAGCCCGAAGAAGCTTCGCCGAAGGACTCTGGCATCCGACGTGCTCCCGCTGCCTCTGTGGCTGACCAACACGGTGTTCCTGCTCACCTTCATCTTCTCCTGCTGCTACCTGCTCCAGCAATGGCGCGAGCAGCTCTACTCGTCGGAGAAGCTTCACGAATTGCTCTGGCGAGATCTCGTCGCCGTCTGCCTCGGTATGGGCTCCTTCATTTACCTTATAAACTTCTTCGGGGTTGGATTCGTGCAGTCGGCCATCGAGCAGAGCATGCTTTCCGAGGAGGAGGACGCGAAGGAGATGGAAGAGGAGGACGATGACGAGGAAGGGGAAGACGAGGAAGAGGAGGAGAAAGATCCCAAGCAGCTGCTTTCCCGCCACAGGCGCAACCATCGGCGCAACCATTCGCGCGGGCACTATGCCCCCCATCAACCAGAGCCCTGGTATAAGCCCGAACCCATCCCAACTCCCGTTACTGCCACCCCCGCTAGTACCAACCCCTCCATTTCCTCCTCCGCCACTGCCACCCCCGCTACAACCACATCCGCTTCAAGCGCGCTTGCTCCCGCGGCGCCCAAGTCCTGCACCTTTAAGCTCGACAGTTCGTCTTCGCTACCAGACGTCCCGTTACAGGACCTCCCGGACGACGACATTGCGCGTGCCGTCGCGCGCGGCGCCATCCCCATGCATTCCCTCGAAACCCAACTCGGCAACACCCTCCGCGCCGCCGCGGTCCGCCGGCGCGCCGTGGAGATCAAAACCGGCCGCTCCCTCGCGGGACTCCCCCTCGAGAACTACGACTACGACGCGATCCGCGGCGCGTGCTGCGAGATGGTGATCGGCCACGTGACGATCCCCGTGGGCGTCGCAGGCCCCCTTCGACTCGACGACGCGGAGTTCTTCGTACCCATGGCGACGACCGAGGGCTGCCTCGTCGCCAGCACCAACCGCGGCTGCAAGGCCATCTGCGCCGCGGGCGGCGCGCGCAGCGTCGTGCTGCGCGACGGCATGACCCGCGCGCCCGCCGTGCAGCTCCCCTCCGCGCTCCGCGCGGCTGAGCTCAAAGCCTTCGCGGAGAACCCGCGCAACTGGGTTCTCCTCGCGGACGCCTTCAACAGCAGCAGCCGCTTCGCGCGCCTGCAAACCCTCAGCGTGGCGGTGGCGGGGCGCAACGCGTTCATCCGCGTGGAGAGCAGCACGGGCGACGCGATGGGCATGAACATGGTTTCGAAAGGCACGGGCAACGTGCTGGGCGTGCTCGGCGCGCAGTTCCCGGACATGCGCGTGGTCAGCATGTCGGGCAACTACTGCGCGGATAAGAAGGCCACCGCCGTCAACTGGATCAAGGGGCGCGGCAAATCCGTCGTCTGCGAAGTCACCATCCCCGGCCGCGTGGTAAGTTGTTTTTTTCTTTCTTTCTTTCTTTTTCTTTGGTGTTGATCCGAATGCACCCGCGTCCCCCTTCTTTCACTCATCTTTTTTTCCCTCTTTCCGCTCATGATCAAGAACCTAATGGATTGACCATGCCTCAACCGTTCCGCCCCCCCCCCCGTGTTCCCGCTACTTCCCTCCCTGCTCCCTCCTGCCGCCTCTGCAGGTCGAGTCGGTGCTAAAGACAACAGTTGCCGCCCTGGTGGAGCTGAACACGACCAAGAACCTCGTTGGCTCAGCCATGGCGGGCGCGGTGGGCGGCTGCAACGCGCACGCGAGCAACATCGTGACGGCCGTGTTCCTGGCCACGGGGCAGGACCCCGCGCAGAACGTGGAGAGCTCGCAGTGCCTCACGCTGCTAGAGGCGGCCAATGGCGGGGCTGATCTGCACGCTTCTGTCATGCTGCCGGCGATCGAAGTCGGCACCGTTGGGGGAGGAACCTTCCTTGCACCGCAGGTGAGCAGGCCGTCTCTCTCCTTGTGTCTTTCGCAGTTTAGAATGAAAGGTGTGCATGGTGCACCAAGCACTGGGCAGAGACGGCCATTATCGTGTCATTGCCGGTCATTATGCATCTTCAGCTATCCTGCCTCAACATCGGCCTTACTCCCCTCTTCCCGCTCTCTCTCTCTCTCTCTCTCCCTCTCTCTCTCTCTCTCTCTCTCTCTCTCTCTCTCTCTCTCTCTCTCTCTCTCTCTCTCTCCTCCCGCTCTCTCTCTCTCTCTCCTCCCGCTCTCTCTCTCTCTCCTCCCGCTCTCTCTCTCTCTCCTCCCGCTCTCTCTCTCTCTCCTCCCGCTCTCTCTCTCTCTCTCCTCCCGCTCTCTCTCTCTCTCCTCCCGCTCTCTCTCTCTCTCCTCCCGCTCTCTCTCTCTCTCTCCTCCCGCTCTCTCTCTCCTCCCGCTCTCTCTCTCTCCTCCCGCTCTCTCTCTCTCTCCTCCCGCTCTCTCTCTCTCCTCCTGCTCTCTCTCTCTCTCCTCCCGCTCTCTCTCTCTCTCCTCCCGCTCTCTCTCTCTCTCCTCCCGCTCTCTCTCTCTCTCTCCTCCCGCTCTCTCTCTCTCTCCTCCCGCTCTCTCTCTCCTCCCGCTCTCTCTCCCTCTCCTCCCGCTCTCTCTCTCTCTCCTCCCGCTCTCTCTCTCTCTCTCCTTCCGCTCTCTCTCTCTCTCTCCTCCCGCTCTCTCTCTCTCTCTCCTCCCGCTCTCTCTCTCTCTCCTCCCGCTCTCTCTCTCTCTCCTCCCGCTCTCTCTCCCTCTCCTCCCGCTCTCTCTCCCTCTCCTCCCGCTCTCTCTCCCTCTCCTCCCGCTCTCTCTCTCTCTCCTCCCGCTCTCTCTCTCTCTCCTCCCGCTCTCTCTCTCTCTCTCTCTCTCTCTCTCTCTCTCTCTCTCTCTCTCTCTCTCTCTCTCTCTCTCTCTCTCTCTCTCTCTCCTCCCGCTCTCCCAGGCGGCTGCCCTATCCCTGCTGGGCGTGAAGGGGTCCCACAGCACGCAGCCGGGGGCGAACGCACAGCAGCTGGCGCGGGTGGTGGCGGCAGCAGTGCTGGCGGGGGAGCTCTCGCTCTGCTCCGCCCTCGCCTCGGGCCACCTCGTGCAGGCGCACCTCAAATACAACCGCTCCACCCTCAACTCTTCTGCCTCCGCCTCCTCCGTTGCTGCTGTTGCTGCTGCTGATACCGCTGCGGCTGGTGCTGCTGGGGCGGCTTCTGCTGCATCGGAGGGCCTCTGCATGGTCAGCAAATGCTGACTTAGGGCGCGTTCCACGGTGCTATTTGATTCCTTCGCCTGGTGCCCGAGTGGCCTAGCTGAAACCGCCGTGTGGGATTTCTGACTGCTGCTGCTGCTGCTGCTGCCGCTGTTGCTGCTGCTGCTGCTGCCGCTGTTGCTGCTGCTGCGTCCGCTGCTGCTGATGGTGATGAGATGTGCTTGCTGTGTTCTCTTCCTCTCATGCCAGCTGTGCTGCAGTCAGCTATCCCACAAGGCGGATTATGAATTTATGAGCGTGTGTGTGCCTGTTTGTGCATTGATTGTTGGTTTGGCTTTATGGTTTTGTCTGGTTTGATTTGACTTGCTTTGCACATAGGTGTTTGTTCCTCAAAAGTGTTGTGTTAAAGCCAGCAGCTAAAATAGCGACCCCCCCTTTCTAGTTGGGTCCAACTTGAAGGCCCTAGTTTCTTTGTAGTGTTATAGAAGGTTTAAATTATGTGTGTTTTTTTTCCAGCTCCAGACAAGTTTCGGAGTGAACAAGGAACGGAGTTCTTTCTCAATTTTGATTGGCAGCCAAACAGATGTGCGAATTTGGCGCAAAGAGCTGTGACGGGCAAGGCAGTGCAACCATTTGACGAGTTGTGACTTCATCAAATGCACATCTAGCAACAGCACAGACAAGATCCCAAGCACACACATACACTGAAGAATACCGTATACTCCCGGACAAAACACCCCCCCATAATTGTACACCCCCGGGTAGCTTGTGCGGGGTGGGTGTTATGATAGACCTGGTTTCTACAATACCCCCCTTTTTGGCTGATTTTCTATAACACCCCCCTTTTCTTACGGATTCATTATTACAGTCGTTAACGAGTAGCTGCAATACGGAAGAATATCGTGTGAATTTCTCCCTCAATGAAATTTCGCTGTACATTCAAAGGCAATCTGTCGAGATTTGCCCCCTCCCACTATTTCTCTGTTGCCACGTGGAGGTCAATCTTCCGTTGCAAGCAGGCCCCTATATTCGTTTTGAGGTAGTTGTCAAACATTATATATGTTATGCTTGTGTAGGCTACAGTAGGTTAGCCTATAGGGGGTACACAATTCTAGGGTTTACTACTTGTACTCATTCTCACTGCTAGTTCACTCATTCCTGTTCGCTTATTCTCACAGTAGTCTGAGGCCTCAGAGTACACCCCTCCTGGAACTCTGTCTGTCAGAGGTGCCTCAAAATTTTAGTCTGAAAATTCAGACAGGCACAATTTTTTTTGTCTGAACTGTCAGAGTTACTTCAATTTTTAAGATGTTCATGCTCTTTCGTAAAAGAGCTTATAATAGCATTGAAGCTGATTACAGCATACCATACCAACGCACCAGGCAACGTGCTCGTGCTCGTGCATCGCCTCTGCTCATGTCGGCGGCGTTCCGGTGTTTCTGTCACATGCAGCGCATGGTTGTTTCTGCTCTGCTGCTGATCTCATTTCGTTTTGTCGTGTGTGTGATTACCGTTCTGTACCTATTTTCTCGCATGTGTGCCGATTTTGTCAGTTTTGGATTTGCTTTTCAAGCGATGCGATCGTTCACCCGATCTGTATCAGGTGGGCCAAGTGCCACGCGACACCCTCGGCCCGAATAGAGCACCCGATCTGTATCAAGTGGGCCAAGTGCCACGCGACACCCTCGGCCCGAGTAGAGCACTCGATCTGTATCAGGTGGGCCAAGTTTCATACAGCAGAGCTGGCAGCAGGCAGAAGCTGTTGCTTGGCGTGGCATGTAAGCATCAGACAGTGCCACACGAAACTTTCACTACGAATCAGGAACGTCGCAATTCACACCAGTGCGTGTTGCATATGTTTTTACAACGAATCACCATCAAAGTCGCCTATTCTTTACAGTACATAAGCGATAACTTACATGTGACGAGACTTCGTCTTCAGAAATCTTGTAATCACGCAACCCTTTCCTCAGCGTAAATGGAAGATATTCGCGACGAACGAGTGTATTTCGATGTCCCAGCTGTCGAAGTGAGTGTTGCTCACGTCTTGGCACTCCACTGCCATCTCGGAAGTGGGCATATCGGAAGGAAACTTCCAGGAAACTTCTCTCCGATAAGCCGCAGAGTGTACCCCTGATACAAGTCTGAGGCTCGGCCTACCCTAGTAAAATTAGGCTGAAATTTCAGACAACTCATAAGAAAAAACTCTGGAAAATCAGACAAGGTACATAAATAAATTCTTTGAGTTCAGACTAGGTACAAAAAAAAGTCTGAACGGACTCTGATTCAGACTCTAAAGTCTGATATCTAGGGCACTGGTTGCAAGTGGCAAGAGAGGTGTCACATAGCATTTTCGTGAGGGCGATGAAGTTCGAGGCCGAATGACATTCGCGCCTCAGGCAGTGATGCTAAAACGACCAGAAAAACACCCACATTGACTAATTAAAAAAACACTAACACTAAAATATGCCATATGTAAAGACCCGGGTATTATGTGTTTTTTTCCTATGAGGAGACCCCCCCCCCATTTTTGTGAGAATAGGAAAACAGGAATGAATGAACTATGAATGAAAGCAGTACAAATATGAAACCCTAACTGGGTTGTACCCCTTATGGGATACCCCACTACAGCCTACACAGCAGTATAAGCTATAGATATGTTCTGACACACCCCCATAGGCAAAGTGGGGGAGAACAAGGGGTCAAAAGACCAGTCAAGCAAGACAAAGCAAAGCTCAGGGTGGATCACAAAGTCACCACACAGTCCGAGCACAAGAGCAAGGCCAAAGGCCAGTTCACAAGCAAGAGTACAGACATATATATAAAGCTAGACAAGCAAGAGCAGGTATATATATATGTCACAGTACAAGTGAAGTCAAGAGGAGAGCAAGTGAGGCAAGACAGGCACAAGACCCAGCTGGGTGCAGAAGCGCTGATGGTCACAAGGCGCAAGTGCCTTGGTGAACACATCAGCAGTGTTGGCCTCAGAGGCCACGTACGCAAGTCGCAACTGACCACGCTGCTGCAGCTCACGAGCAAGGAAGTAGCGGAGAGCAATGTGCTTCGTTCTGTGCTCCAAGCGCTGCTCTCGACACAAGGCCAGCATAGCCTTGTTGTCTACGTACAGCACGGGAGGAGAACGAGGCGGCTCTCCAAGGTCAGTCAGCAGGTAGGTGAGCCAGCGAAGCTCCTGTGCAGCCATGGCCCCGGCGTAGATCTCAGCCTCACAACTGAAGCCGAGAACCGAAGACGAGCGAGTAGACCGCCACGAGACAGAGCCGGAACCAAGGCTGAAGGTGTAACCCTGTGACGACCGCTGCGTAGCCTGGTCGTCAGCCCAAGACGCGTCCGCGTGGCCGGTAAGGACCACTGGACTCCGCCCTCCAAGCACTAGCCCCATGCCTGACGTACTGCACAGGTAGCGCAATACCCTCTTCGCTGCAGCCATGTGCTCCGGTCTGTGTCTCCCAGGAGCAACATAGCGTGCAAGAATGCTCAGAGGGTATGCAAGGTCAGGTCGTGTGCAGGTCATCAGGTACATGAGGCAGCCAACAAGCTCCGCATACGGACCACTCGACTCTACGGACTCATCCGAAGGCAGAGCTGAGAGTGAGTGGCGAGTAGGCAGAGGAGTGGCCTGAGGCGAGGAGTACGTGAAGCCGAAGCGCTGAAGGACCTGCTGCACCATGTGTGACTGAGTCAAGGTAATGGTGCGGCGTGCTCTGTCCCGAGTGATCTGCAAGCCAAGGTAGCTGCGCAGTTCACCCAGGTCTGTGCACGTGTGTCTCTTCAACAGCTCGGACTTCACGTAGGCGAGTCCAGCAGTGTCCGCTGTGGCAAAGACCAGGTCGTCGACGTACACGAGGATGTAGAACGGCGGCAGGGAAGTGTCGGTGCGAAGAAACAGCGACGGGTCAGCAGTAGAAGGAGCAAACCCAAGAGCCGCAAGCGTAGTCCTCAGTGTGTCGTGCCACTCACGCGGTGCCTGGCGGAGACCGTAGACTGGCCGTCGGAGGCTCCACTGGGTGCCAGGAGGGAAAGTCCCAGTGAAGCCAGGTGGACGGCGAAGCCAGATCTCCTCGTGCAGGCTACCCTGCAAGAACGCAGTGCTGAAGTCGAGAGAGTGAAGCTCGTAGTCGCGCTGAGCGGCTATGTGCAGCAGCACCCGAAGAGTAGTCATCTTCGGGGTGGGAGAGAAGGTCTGAAAGTAGTCAACTCCCTGCCGCTGACTGAAGCCACGAGCAACGTACCGTGCCTTGAAGACAGGTGGAGAGCCCGGCGGCCGCTTCACCCTGAAGATCCACATGCCACTGACGATGTTCGCCCCAGGAGGGGGAACCGCGTCAACGTAGGTGCCTGTGGACTTCCAGGAAGCCATCTCTGCATCCATAGCTGCCTGCCACTGAGAGGAGTAGGGACCCTCTACGGCCTCCGCGTAAGAACGCGGAGTCGGGATGTCTAGTGCATCCGGGTCTCCCTCAGGGGCAAGCAGTACAGACGCGAGATGAGGTGAAGCAGCCGCTAGACACTGTAACTCCTCCTGCCTGTCCTCTAGGACGTCCGTGCCAAGAGCACACTCACCCCCGACGGACGGAGGACAGACAGACGCAGACTCAGCAACAAGACTAGCAGCGTAGTCGAGACGACAGCGAGCAGCAAAGTCGACGAGCTCAGCGACTAGAGCAGACGCAGCAGTGGACTCAAAAGAGGGGTCAGTGACTACAGTAGCAAGCAGACGCGTGACAGTGGGACTGGCAGCACGAAGAGAGTCCGACTCAGGGTCGGCAAGCGCAGGAAGAGAGGACTCAGGAGGAGAAGGCAAAGGGGCACGCAGAGGAGCAGTGGACGGACGTAAAGACATCCGGTGCGTGCCAAGGACAGGAGGAGGACGCTGACGCGAACTGCAACCACTAGCGCGAGCAGCACGAACAGTCGACGCGGGACGAGACGCAGGCTCACGACGCTCAGCAAGACCTCCAGTAGGACCAGTGTAAGGAGAGGGAGCAGGCAGCGGAGAGGAAGGCTCCAGTAGGGGCTGCGACTGGACAGGCGGTGGACCCTCTACTGGAGGAGAAAGACCAAGAACCTGCTGAAGGAGCGGAACGAAGTACGGCCGAGGCCGCGCGGCAGCTCCAGACTCAGCAGGGACAGCACCAGCACCCTCAGCGACAGCACCAGCGCCACCCACACCTCCAGCGGCAGGACCAACAGCAGTAGGCTCAGCACCAACGCCCTCAGCAGCTC